CTCTGCCTCCCAAAGTGCTGGGATTATAGACGTGAGGCACCATGCCCAGCCTAGTGCTTTATTATTAAATAATTTTCCATTGTATAGATATGCCGCATTTTATCCATTCGGCAGTTCATGGATTGGATTGTTTCCACCTTTTGACTATTATGAATAATGCCGGTATGAACATCCATGGACAAGTGTTTGGGTGGGTATATTTTGCCGTTCTCTTGGGTAGATACTCACAATGAAATGGCTGGGTCAAACGGTAACTCTGTGTTTAACTTTTTGGGGAAAGGCCAGGCCGTTTTCCAAAGTGGCTGCACCATTCCTACCAACAGTGTATAAACGTCCCAATTTCTTTACATTTTTAACACGTTGTTATCTGACAGATCCAGTTTCTTGGAAAGAAACGTTTCAAAGGGACTTATGAACAGAAGCCATGTCTGTGTCTCCGGTGTGGGGAGACAAAATCGTAGCTCCCCGCAGCAGTATCCCCAGATCCAAAGCTTCTGTACCAAGGGAGCAGGTTATTCAGAAGGGATGTGTGGGCAAGCGAAGTGTGATAACATCAAGGCTCTTTGACGTCATGGCAGGATTGATGGTAAATACAGCCTCATACACAAGGAACAACAGATAAACTGGAAATCTTAGAGGCCTTCCTGGAACAGGAGTTAATCAGAAGCCAACACAGTAGTTTAGCATCCAAGATGGAGTTGCTTTAGCCTCAACAGAGGAGTTGTAGGCTCATAGCAACATTGAAAGGGAGGTAGAGAGATTTCCCATCTGCCCCCTGCCCCACACATGCACCTCCTCTCCCATCATCATCTTCTACCAGAGGGTACATTTGTTACAATTGATCAACTCACATTGTCACATCATAACCACCCAAAGTCTATTGTTGACATGAGGGTTCACCCTTGGTGTTGTACATTCTATGGGTTTGGACACATTTCTAACATGTATCCACCACTACAGTATCACACAGGGTTTTTTCACTGCCAGGGTGCTCTGGGTGGAGGTGAGCCACAAGAGGGATGGCACCTGCAGGCTCTGGCCAGGGGGAGCGGGGTGGCCATTGAATCCATTATCAGCCACAGATCCCCAACTGCAGTTGGAGACAGGCTTTACTCTGGGCCACCAACCAAAGCCTGAGCTTTTCCCAGACAGATTGGGTTTTTGTTTTCGTTGTTTTTGAGATGGAGTCTTGCTCGGTCGCCGAGGCTGGAGTACAATGGCGCAAGCACAGCTCACTGCAAACTCTGCCTCCCAGGCTCAAGCGATCCTCCCACCTCAGCCTCCGGAGTAGCTGGGACCACAGGCATGCGCCACCACATCCGGCTCATTTTTATATTTTTTGTAGAGACAGAGTCTTGCCATGTTTTTATATTTTTTGTAGAGACAGTCTCACCATGTTGCCCACGCTGGCCTCAAACTCCTGACCTCAAGCAGTCCTCCTGCCTTGGCCTCCCAAAGCGCTGGGATTAGAGGCATGAGCCACCACCCCTGGCCCAGACTTTGTTTTTTTTGTCGTTGTTTGTTTTTGAGACAGTCTCCCTCTGTCACCCTCGCTGGAGTGCAGTGGCACTATCTCGGTTCACTGCAACCTCTGCCTCCTGGGTTTAAGCGATTCTCGGGCCTCAACCTCCCAAGTAGCTGGGACTCCAGGCGTGTGCCACCACGCCCGACTAATTTTTGTATTTTTAGTAGAGACGAGGTTTCACCACGTTGCCCAGGCTGGTCTTGAACTCGTGACCTCAAGTGATCTGCCACCTCGGCCTCCCAAAGTGCTGGGCTACAGGTGTGAGCCACTGCACCCAGCCTCCTTCCAGACTTTGTGCCATGGAGCTGTGGGGGCCAGGACCATTGGCCCCTAAGGGTTCACTGAAAAATCACTGGCACAAGGCAGACGATTATTAGAAGTAAAGGGAATCTCAGTAGGTTTGGGTCTGCACCGTGCATACTGGACTTTCCATTCATTCAGAACAACTTACTGAGCCTCTTTATGTGCCCAACACTGTGCTGGGCATCGGGGAAGCCATGGTGAGCTAGACAGAGAGCCCTGGTCTCCCAAGCTCGCCCGGGAAAGTGCCAGCCGGGAGAGCAATATAGAAAGGGAACCTAGGAAGGGATATGGGAAAAGGGCTCCCTACGGGATTTGTTGGATGTGACAGGGCAGAGGAGGAGGGTACTGGGAAGACCTAGGGGTGAAGAGGGAACGAGGGCAGGGCCCGCTGGGACAGCCACCCTTAGTGCTTACTGCAGCCTTCTTCATAGTTGAACCTCCCCATCCTACAGCGCAGGAAGCTGCAGGAGGTGCCTGGTGGAGAGTCTGCTCAGAAATCATTTGAACAAACAACTTTTATGGACTTTTGTTCATCCCCCGAAGCTCCTGGGGCACCGCTGCAGGATTTTAAATTGGGGAGTGGCATGGTAGCTTCGTGGTTTTGGAAGAGCGTTTAGGCTCTAGCAGGGGAAACAGAGGGTGGGCAGGATGCCTGGGGAAGGGGGAGAAGAATGAGAGCAGCGAGGGAGCTGCAAGGGTGGCCTGGCCCAGGATGGTGGCCGTGAGGCTGCGCTCAGGGAGTTGGCAAGAGCGATATACAGGATATGACAGGACTTTGAGATACGGGGTGTGGCAGTGGAACAGGAGGATGGCTCAGGCAGACAGAATTTCTGAGATAGCCCCCCAGAGATGCCCTGCCCAGAACCTGTGAGTATGAGGAGCTGTCACTCCTGTATGTCTCGTTATTTGGCACAGTTGACTTAGACGGGGAGACAATCCAGGATTATCCGGGTTAGCCCAGTGTAATCCCTTGAGGCCTGAAAGCAGAAAGCTTTGTCTGACTGGCGGCGGAGGGGCAGTGGCGGAGATCCCAGGAGCAAGCAGGATCTGAACGCTGCTCCTGGCTGTGAGGATGGGGGGACCACGAGTGAGGACCAAAAAGCAACCACAGGAGCTGAGAGTGACTGACTGACAGGAGGCGGGACCCAGGTCCTACAGCCACCGGGAACTGAACCCTTCCAGCAAGAGGAGTGAGCCTGCAGGGGGATTCCAAGCACCAGATGAGATCACGGTGGATGGAGACTTTGATGTGAGGCTTCAACCCAAGCCCTGCCCTCCAGGACTTCTGACGTACAGACCCGTGAGATAATACCTGGGTGTCTTTCTCAGCCACTGAGTGGTCAGTTGTTACAGCAGCAATGGGGAGCGCATACACCAGATTTTTGGACACATTCACTGCAGTGAAAACCAACATAGAGACCTGGTGTGGTGGCGCACGCCTGTAATCCCAGCATCTTGGGAGGCCGAGGCAGATGGATCACTCGAGGCCAGAAGTTCAAGACCAGCCTGGCCAACATGGTGAAACCCTGTCTCTACCAAAAATACAAAAATTAGCTGGGCGTGGTAGTGGGCACCTGTAATTCCAGCTACTCAGGAGGCTGAGGCAGGAGAATCGCTTGAACCCAGGAAGCAGAGGTTGCAGTGAGCCAAGATTGCCCCACTGCACTCCAGCCGCAACAGAGTGCAACCCACGCAAAAAAAAAAAAAAAAAATGAAGAAAGGAAAAAAAGAAAAGAAATAGAAAAGAAAAAAAAAAAAAAAGACAAAACCCCCCCCAGCACGGGAAGAAAAAAAGAGAGAAGAAAAAAAAAAAACAAAAAAAGAAAAGAAAAAAAAAAGAAGAGAGAAAAGAAAGAAGCATGGAGGCCGAAGGCGGTCAGGCTTGGGCAGGAGAAAGAGGTCCCGGGGACTCGGGATGGATAATAAGGGTCCCCACCTCATCAGGCTGTTGGGAGAGCCAAGTGCATGTACAGGACGTGCGGCCGCAGCGGGGACTGGGAGACCTACGGTGGCAACGGGAAGGGAGATCTGTGCGTTGTGGCACAAAGGCCTCCACCTGCCACGGAGGTGTGACGGGCGGGCGGGGAAAGCAGGGGGCATTGCTCCACCGTGCGCGGCCCCGCCGCCCGGGAGCGCGCTGTGGCCTCCTCTCCGTCGCCTGTACCGCCACCTCGTGGAGCAGTGTGGAATCGCCAGCGGTCAGTCGGCGGGCTTTGGTTCTGGGAGTCTTCTCCTCTCGTGTCCTCCTCCTTCTGACCGTGCTCCACTGACATCCGGCCTCTTGCTTTGCAGGAGGCAGGGAGGTCATGCTCCTGCCCTAGAAAGTGAGAACTGGAAGGTCTTTAGAGGCCATTGATTCACCCTCCCCTGTCAACAGAGTGGAATGAGGCTGGGCCCAGAGCAAATCAGGTTCCGAGGTGGGAGGAAAACCCAGGCAGCCCTCCCTCATTCGTTCCTTGGCACCTGCTCAGCCTCTGGCTTCCAGTTGGCCGTGGAGAGGAGGGAAGGCAGGGAGCAGTGCGCCTCCTGCTTCTGCCCTGTGCTCCTTCTCCAGGAACAGACACCTGGCGCTGCTGGCCTTCCTTTTCTCGTGAGATAAGGAGACATCTGTTTTTCTCTTTCTTTGTGAAAGACAGAGAGCAGAGCAGCCAGCCAGAATGGGGCGTGAGGGGGAAGGTGAAGAACTGGGCTGAGGGTGTCTGGGGCTTCCTAGGCAAAGGGCTTGGGTGTCAGTCCCGTTGATTTAGATCAGGGTCAGAAGATGTTCTCTGTAAAGGGCCAGACAGTAAACATTTTAGGCTCTGTGAACTATACAGTCTCTATTGTAACTACTCAGCCCTGCTGTTACAGTAGGAAAGCACCCAGAAACAATATGTAATCAAATGGGGTGGTTATGTACCAATAAAACTTTATTTATAAAAAACAGGGAGGCCGGGCGTGGTGGCTCACACGTGTAATCCCAGCACTTTGGGAGGCTGAGACTGGCGGATCATGAGGTCAAGAGTTCGAGACCAGCCTGGCCAATATGGTGGAACCCTGTCTCTACTAAAAATACAAAAAAATTAGCCAAGCGTGGTGGCGGGTGCCTGTAATCCCAGCTACTCGGGGGGCTGAGGCAGGAGAATCACTTGAACCCGGGAGGTGGAGGCTGCAGTAAGCTGAGATCGTGCCACTGCACATCAGACTGGGTGACAGTGCCAGACTCTGTCTCAAAACAAACAAACAAACAAACAAACCGAAAACATGGCTCCGCTGGCCGTAGTTCGCTGACCTCTGATTTGGATGTTGGTGGCGGCGTCTACCGGTTTTTCCAATCAGATGCTTCAGCTGAGACTGGGGGCCGTGGCTCATGCCTGGAATCCCAGTGTTTTGGAAGGCCGAGGTGGGAGGATCACTTGAGCCCAGAAGTTTATCAGCAGCCTAGCAACAAACAAGACTTCTGTCTCAACAACAAAGTTAAAGAAAGAAAAAATGATGCCCCAGGGTCGCGCCGGGCTGGGCTGGGGGTGCGCCCTCTGCGAGCAGGACGTCCGGCCTGCGGGCACTGCTGGGGCTCAGGCTGCTGGTTGCGGGCTTGCACCTGCTGCGATCAAAAGCCAGACCAGCGCCTGCCGCTCGGGACCCAGCTGGTGGGGACCACACTGGTGAACTCGGGTGGCTGCTGGGACTCAGCGGTCATGGAGAGCCTAGCGGTGAAGTACCTGAGCCAGGAGGAAGCCCAGGCTGTGGACCAAGAGCTGTTTAACCAGTACCAGTTCAACGTGGACCAACTTATGGAGCTGGCCAGGCTGAGCTGTGCTACAGCCATCGCCACGGCATACCCCCCACGTCCATGTTCAGGAGCCCTCTACTGTCCTGGTCATCTGTGGCCTGGGGAATAATGGAGGAGATGGTCTGATCTGTGCTGGACACTTCAAACTCTTTGGCTACCAGCCAAGCATCTATTACCCCAAAAGGCCTAACAAGCTCCTCTTCATTGCGTTGGTGACCCAGTGTCAGAAAATGGACATCCCTTTCCTTGGGGAAATGCGCTCAGAGCCCATGATGATTGAGCTGTATGAGCTGGTGGTGGATGCCGCCTGTGGCTTCAGCTTCAAGGGTGACGTTCGGGAACCGTTCCACGGCATCCTGAGTGTCCTGAAGGGACTTACTGCGTCCATTGCCAGCATCAACATTCCCTCAGGATGGGATGTGGAGAAGGGAACTCTGCAGGGATCCAGCCAGACATGCTCATCTACCTCACAGCACCAAAAAATCTGCAACCCATGTTACCAGAAGCCACCAGGGGTCGTTTTGTGCCACCTGCTCTGGAAAAGAAGTAACAGCTGAACCTGCCCCCTGCCCTGATACTGAGTGTGTCTATGGTCTGCAGTGAGGGAAGGTGGGTGGGTATTCTTCCCAATAAAGACTTAGAATCCCCCCCTCAAAAAAAGAAAGAAAGAAAGAGAAAGAAGAAAGAAAGAAGGAAAGAAAGAAGGAAGGAAGGAAGGAAGGAAAAAGAGAAGAAAGAAAAGAAAAGAAAAGCATTGTGCCTTTGCACCCCAGCCTGGGTGAGAGAGCAAGACTCCATCTCAAAAAAAAAAAAAAAATTAAAAAGAAGCAACCAATGGGATCCACTTCCAACATTGCATTCTGCAAATATTCTGTATGAATACACAATACTATGCTTCCCCTTTTTTTCCACCTATTTCTTAGTAAATGTCCGTCCTCTCTTCACAGAAATAGTAGCATACTATGCACAGCATTCTGCATTTTGCTTTTTAACATTTTAAAAAAATAATTTCAGTTTGTATTTTGGATTCAGGGAGGGCGTGTGCAGGTTTGTTACCTGGGTCTATTCTGGGTATAATGCGTGATGCTGAGGTTTGGGGTAGAATTTTTCCCATTGCCCGGGTACTCAGTGTAGTACTCAACAGTTAGTTTTTTACTACACGCCCCCTTCCTCTCCTCTCATGTGGGTAGGCTGGTCTTGAACTCCTGACCTCAGGTGATCCACCTGTCTCAGCCTCCCAAAATGCTGGGATTACAGGCATGAGCCAGGGCGCCCGGCCTGGCTCCTACTTCTAAGCGAGAATATGCAGTGTTTGGTTTTCTGTTCCTGTGTTAATTGGCTTAGGATGACGGCCTCCAGCTGCATCCATGTTGCTGCAAAGGACATTATTTTGGGTTTTCTGGCTGCACAGTGTTCTGTGGTGAACATGTGCCACGTTAAAAAATTATTTTTAGGCCGGGCGCGGTGGCTCAAGCCTGTAATCCCAGCACTTTCGGAGGCCGAGACGGGCGGATCCGGATCACAAGGTCAAGAGATGGAGACCATCCTGGGCAACATGGTGAAACCCCGTCTCTACTAAAAATACAAAAAACTAGCCGGGCGAAGTGGCGGGCGCCTGTGGTCCCAGCTACTCGGGAGGCTGAGGCAGGAGAATGGCGTGAACCCGGGAGGCGGAGCTTGCAGTGAGCAGAGATCCGGCCACCGCACTCCAACCTGGGCAACAGAGCCAGACTCAGTCTCAAAAAAAAAAAAAAAAAAAAAAATTATTTTTATTTATTAAATGTTTTATATCTTTGTTTTATTTTTTTTCTCTTTTTCTCCACCTCAAGTTGAACTTCATCATCTTTATCCAGTCCACCACTGATGGACACCTAGGTTGATTCTGTATCTTTGCTATTGTGAACACTGCTGTGATATACATGTGCATGTGTCTTTTTGGTAGAAAAATCTATTTTATGTTGAATATATATCTACTAATAGGAGTGCTGGGTTAAATGGTAGCTCTGGGGTTTGTTTGTTTGTTGTTTTTGTTTTTGGAGACAGAGTTTAGCTTTTGTCGCCCAGGCTGGAGTGCAATGGCACTATCTCAGTTCACCTCGATCTCCACCTCCCAGGTTCAAGTGATTCTCCTGCCTCAGCCTCCCAAGTAGCTGGGATTACAGGCATGCGCCACCACGCCCAGCTAATTTTGTTTTTTGTTTTGTTTGTTTTGTTTTTTTGGGATGGAGTCTTGCTCTGTCGCCCAGGCTGGAGTGCAGTGGCACCATCTTGGCTCACTGCAAGCTCCGCCTCCCGAGTTCATGCCATTCTCCTGCCTCAGCCTCCTGAGTAGCTAGGACTACAGGCACCTGCCACCATACCTGGCTAATTTTTGTATTTTTAGTGGAGACAGGGTTTCACCCTATTGTCCAGGCTGGTCTTGAACTCCTGACCTCAGGTGATCCGCCTGCCTCAGCCTCCCAAAGTGCTGGGATTACAGGCGTGAGTCACCACATTCGGCCTGTATTTCCATTTCTAAAAGGCTAAGTAGAAAGTGGGGAGCCAGGGGAAAGAAGAGAAAGAAAAAATTAAACCACCTTCTAGAAAAATGGAGGTACTCAGTTACATTTCCTCACTGACAACTTCCATTCCATTTCTGTGGGATCTGAGCACCATATTCATTCTGGCTACTTCTTGCTGAAAGGGATCATAGCCATTGGGCATCGGAATGGACCTGATGTATTTGGAGATGTAAATATTCATGAGTACTTGGGCTTACAGATGATGTTCGTCGGAGCAATATGGTGCGAGGTCTCGAGAGCCTCTGAGAGAATGCCTGTCTTGCATTCCTATACAGAGGGTGCAACAGCAGTGGACCCTACAACACAGGGATATGCCTGTCCCTGCGATCAGGGCCAATGTTACACGCAGCTTTGCCACCAGGATGGTTCTGACCTGGACCAGGATGCTAACTGCTGGTCTAGCAAACACACCTTTGATTTGTTGGTGCATGTTCCACGTGGCTATCTGAGGCACTTCCTGAACTCTTAATTATCATGCAGGTTCGCCACTGCCAGTTGTAACTGGATATGGTGACAGGTTGGTTGGGTATATATATTTGACAGGCTCCAAAAAGAGCTATGAATCCTCATGAAAGTGTCTCGTTTTTGAGAAAGGATCAGCTTAAATAGCTGTGTCTCATCCAGAAGGTGGCATTGGAGATGGGCTAGGCCTCTGCATGTGATGAAGGCAAACAGATTTTTAATAAGAAGTGTTTCCATGGAAACAGAAGAAAAACAAAGGCTAATGTTGGGCAGTTTGTCCAGATGTTAGGCTCAAGGCATCCTTAATTACAGAGGAGGAAGGCAGTGGCAGTCTGACACGTTTTTCTCACCTGTATTGCAAGGAATAACATAGTGGCAATTTCACTGAGTCCAACTCAGAAAAATGGAAGAAAAATTTAAAAGCATTAATTTGGGATTGTAGCCTGGAAAGAATTCAGGATTTAGCCCAAATTGCAGAAAATAAGAAAAGCTGAAAAACGGTAGGCAAGAGTAGAATCTAACAACAGGTATACTATAGTTTTCTCTGAAACATGATTTTTCTCTCTCCAGTTCCCGTTTTTACTAAAGACGAATCATAGTAAGACAAATTTATTTGAAAAATAAGTTTTAGTCTTATAATACTTGGCCTGAGTATTTGCATAAAGTATAGCAAGAATTATTATTCATCATCTTGGCTTTTTAAAAAATCGGCTTTACTGGAACTTTGTTTTATAAGGAATCTCAGATGAAGACTTTTTAAAGTCTTGAACCCAGCCATGAATTTACCTGTGCCTGCAAATGCTATAGGAATTGGGTGAATTCCCCTCCTCAGGGTCCCAAGATAACGTGGGGTTCCTGGACCTGTCAGAAAGTGACACTCTTGGCCAGGTGCAGTGGCTCACGCCTGTAATCCCAGCACTTTGGGAAGCCAAGGCAGGTGGATCACGAGGTCAGGAGTTCAACACCAGCCTGGCCAACATGGTGAAACCCCGTCTCTACTGAAAATACAAAAATTAGCCAGGCATGGTGGCGAGCGCCTGTAGTCCCAGCTACTTGGGAGGCTGAGGCAGGAGAATCGCTTGAACTCGGGAGGCGGAGGTTGTGGTGAGCCAAGATTATGTCACTGCACTCCACCCTGGGCGACAGAGCGAGATTCCATTGCCAAAAAAAAAAGGGATACTCTTTACTCACCATGGGTCAGGAGATGCTGTCCAAGGTATGAGACCAGCTTTTCCAAGGGGCTTTATGGGCTCTGTAAATCAACTTTCATTCCTTAGAGCAGAGTCTGTTTACACCTGAAAGCAGCCATTCCAGTCAAAGCCTTGGTAAAGTGTCTCCAGTGGTGTCCTGTTACAAAAGAAAACAGATTTGAGCCAGGCACAGTGGCTCACGCCTGTAATCCCAGCACTTTGAGAGGCCAAGGTGGGCAGATCACTTGAGGCCAGGAGTTCAAGACCAGCCTGTCCAACATGGTGAAACCCTGTCTCTACTAAAAATACAAAAATTAGCAGGCATGGTGGAGCACGCCTGTAATCTCAACTACTTGGGAGGCTGAGGCAGGAGAATTGCTTGAACCTGGGAGGCAGAGGTTGCAGTGAGCCAAGATGGTACTGCTGCGCTCCAGCTAGGGCAACAGAGTGAGACTCCATCTCAAAAACAAAGACAGAACAGATTTGTATTGACCTTATGCACATAACTATATGGCCATAAATTAAGCATACTTACAAATACTAACACCTAGCCAACCCCATGTTGGTCTTGAACTTGTAAACTCAGGTGATCTACCCACCTCAGCCTCCCAAATGCTGGGATTATAGGCGTGAGTCACTACACCCAGCCTAGGTTTAAGCACTTGATATTACAAAATAGAATCCCAGGTCATTATAAGTAAAAGGGAAAAATCTTTAATCATTGACAGAGGGAATACTCAGCTTTCCGAACAGGACCCCATAAAGACAGCATAAGGCCAGCTGAATCTGTCTCTTTCTCTTCCCCCCACTTTTTTTTTGTCATTTATTCAAAAGGCAAACAAAAATCTTTCATCATCATTATTATTATTATTATTATTATTATTATTATTTTTCAGACAGAATCTCACTCTGTCACCCAGGCTGGCATGCAGTCGCACGATCCTGGCTCACTGCAGTCTCCATCTCCTGGGTTCAAGTGATTTTCCTGCCTCAGCTTCCCAAGTAGCTGGGATTACAAGTGTGCATCATTACACCCGGCGAATTTTTGTATTTTTATTCGAGACAGGGTTTTTTTTATGTTGGCCAAGCTGGTCTTGAACTTCTGGCCTCAAGTGATCCACCCACCTTGGCCTCCCAAAGTGCTGGGATTACAGGCGTGAGCCACCATATCCAGCCAAAAATCTTTTATTAACTTTTAATATTACATTAAAATCTTGTTCAAAAGAGAAAGTCAAATTTCACCTTTGCATTAGTGTACTATTAATGTTAAACCTGATTTTTTTTTTTTTTTTTTTTTGAGACAGAGTCTGGCTCTGTGGCCCAGGCTGGAGTGCAGTGGTGCGATCTCGGCTCACTGCAAGCTCCGCCTCCCGGATTCACGCCATTCTCCTGCCTCAGCCTCTCGAGTAGCTGGGACTACAGGCACCCACCACCACTCCCAGCTATTTTTTAAAATATTTTTAGTAGAGATGGGGTTTCACCATGTTA